CAGATCACTTCTGATGGCCGCTGATGACATTTTTCTATCTTGTAGACATAGTCATTTTATTCTTCTGTCATCAATAGATGTGGTGCACTTTTTTTGGCCTTTTCCTTCTTTGTTTTATATTGAATTTGTCTTCTGATATCGTAAACAAAACTTTCGTACTCCAGATGTAGTCACTGAACCACCCACCTGTCTTGCAATTTCAGCATAGGAAAGGTCACTTTCTCATAACACAATAATATTACATCTCTTTCTAGGTGTCCAATCTACTCTTTTATTTGATGTCATTGCTTCTTGACTAAATATTAAAATTTTTTACAAAAATTCCTACTTGTAATTGCAGTGTATAAGAAACAGGTCCTCCTTCTACAGAACAAAGCAAAATAATGAATTGTTTCAAGTGTAAACATGATGTCAGCTTCTACTGGCAGTTACTAACATTTGATTGGTTCTCAGAACGAGAACAGTGATTGGCCAGGAAAGCTAGACATTACAAACCACTTCATAACTGTGTTTTTTTATTTATATTAAAGTACATATAACTTTTTTTTGTATTGCAAATAATTGAATTTTGTGTTTTATATTGAATTCAGTAATAAATTCTCTTTAAAATGATATATACAAGTTTGCATTTTGAGAAACGTAACATTTTCTATAAGCATGCAAAGTTCAAAAAACATAAAAATTTCCAAAAGTGTTCACAATTTTGGTCACCACTGTATCAATCAATTTTTTTTCCCTGTTGTGAATGTGGCACCTTTTTCTTTCATTATATGATCGTTTGGTTGAGTCCTCCCTTTTTTTTTATTCAAGCTTAACATGACTGCAGCCTTGTTCTTTACATTGTGTTGTAGTTTCAAAAATGCATTTTCTCCATTCTTTTAGCAAAGATCATATGTTTCAGCAATTATGTATACGTTCTTTTGTCAATTTTAAAATGAAAGATTTGATAAAATGCCTTCATTTCACTAATCCAGGGTTTTGGTCTCTTTTGTAAATAGCATAGGCATTGATTTTCCTGAAGTCTAGCATCATATAGAATATTACCATGAGCCAGTGATTAGTGTTTCTGGAAGTAGAATATGTACCACACAATTTTTCTACAATGCCAACTTTTGTTTTTGTATGATTATAAAATGTTATTATCTCAGGTTTATTTTTATCATTTGTTGTAGTATTTATTGCTGCATAATGATGCATGCTCACTAGCAGCATGACATTTCCCCCTTTCTTTGGAATATATGATACTAACATTAAATTCCCTTGAAAACCAAGCTTTGATGCAAATTGCTCACAACTTCAAGAAGAAACAAAATTTGTGGTTGTTGATGCTTATTTTTCCTTACAGTTCCAGTTTGTGATTTTTTAGATCATTGACTAGCTCATAGCTGGTAAACCAGTTATCTGCTGTGATGTTTCATCCACTTTCATTTATTGGTGCAGACGATCTTTTCACCACTGAATTGCTACCATTATTGACTTTTTAAGGAACATCTGGCTGTGCTCCTAAGTGTACCTCCAAATTCACAGTATAGAATATTTTGTAATCAATCCTAGATAAGCCTTTTATGCTGTACTTAGGTTACTTATTAAATATATATCGTTGAAAGGGGCACTTTTCTCTGAGCACTGGTAGCATTTCATCAATAGTAATGTTCTCATCTACAGAATAATTATTTTGGCAGTGTTGAACAAATATGTTGAATAGTTCTGTGATTGGCGCATATTTATTTTTCCGAATTTCCTTATCATAAAATCTTACAGCTTATAACAGAATGTGAAATGCGTTTTGAGACACAGTCAGGGGAAAAATCTGAACCCCTCTTGGTCCATCAGTAGCCCATAAATCATTTGTATTTATTCTACTATTTCAGTTATTTCTGGCAATATATAATAGATCTATGAAAGTATTTAGTTCTGTTGAATCTGTGATCTTACATTCTCTCTCTCTCTGCTGTATGCCTTTTTTTTTCATTATTTCTCTGGAATTTATTAGTATTCTCAACAAGTGTTGAATTAGTGATCTTGTGGTTCAAAAATGGAATCTTCATAATCCTTTTACTTTTTATTGTATGGAAATATGTACAATATATACAGTCCTTAAGCTATACTCGCAGATGAGAACATTCACATAAACAATTTTATGTGCCAAAATTTGGCATTCAATTTGGCATTCCTCGCTGCCATCTGAAGGCTTTCACAAACAAGACAATAAGATGCTTGCTCAAAGCAAGAAGGGTTGCAATAACATTTGGCTTCCTCCAAGCTTCACTATAAATTTAAAATATTCCACAATAAGGTCCAGCATAGCTTCATAAAAAAATGCATATAAGACTGGAAAACAGTTTTGCATTTTTTTTTTTTTTTTTTTTTTTTGCTCATTTCCTTTATACCAGCGGTGCCCAACCTTGTGCTTGCGAGCACAAGTGTGCTCGCCGATCGTTTTGTATGTGCTCGCCGATCGTTTTGTATGTGCTCGCCAACCCAATTAGGTACTATGAAAAAAAAATATTTAAAAAATAAACATTCATTTATATTTCTTAATTGTTAAAATATGGTAAGAATTTATAGTCATAAGAGATATCTTGTAAGATGTTATAAAATAATTGATTGCTGACTGATGAACTTTATAGAGAACATGGAATCTTATTGCTTCATTCGATGTTAGATGGCTCAGCAAGGACCTTCAGCAATTTGTAGAACTTCTTTCATCAATAAAGCACTTTTTGGAATCCGGAAACAAAAGTTATAAAAAATTAGACGATAATAATTGGTTATCCGATCTTAATTTTTCATGGATATAACAGCTAAACTGAAAAAACTGAATGAAGATCTCCAAGGGGGAGGGAAAAAAAAAAAAAAAAAAAAAAAAAAAAAAAAAAACACCTTTTTCAATTGACTGGGATTGTAACTGCTTTTCAGATAAAGTTAAATTTGTGGATAAATCAGATGAAAGAAAAACATTTCACCCATTTTCAGAATTTATCAAGCCATATTAATAACCAAAAGGCAATTGAAACAGAGAAATACTTGGAAAACCTAAATGCACTGAAAAAGAATTTTGAACCCCGCTTCTGTGATCTCCATAAAGTTCAACCAATATTATTATTCATCTCAAACCCATTTGCCGAAATTAATATTTCAGATGTATCACATAAGATTGGAAATATGTTTAACAAAAAATTTGATGTTTTGCAAATGTATTCGGGATAGGCCAAAAGTTGGGCACCATTTCTTTATACCATACAATATTATGGGGAGTCCTAACATTGGAAATGGGCAAGGGCAACTGCCATTTCATCATCTTGTCCTTTCCATACACTTTATTCCCAACACCCATTTCATTATCATAATTATTCGCATCCTCATAATCTTTTTATGCGCTTAAGTTCTTTCTGGCCAGCCATCTTATGGTCTTGTTTTGCTTTTATCTATTTCTTCAGCATCTGAATCTCCAATTTTCAATTCCTTCTCCTATAGTCTCATTTGCTTTCAGCATTTGCCTTCGGAAAGATTCTTTATTATTGCCTTCGGAAAGATTCTAAACCCAGTTGACATAAATATTGTTCATCTCAACAGAAAAATCAAACTTTCTTTTTCTGTCCATCCAAGAAACAGAATTGCAATTAAGTGCATTCTATACTTGATTACTATTGCTATAAAACTTGCCATATATGAAAACATTGCACAGTCAAAATTGTTATACTCTCAAACTCATAGTGTCTAAGAGACTGAAAAATAAAACTTATATAACTAACAACTCCGCATATAATAGTTAAATGATAGAGCCATTTATGACAGATCCTCAGTAGAGTGAGAAAGGTACATGACTGCATATGCCCAAATGGAAGCGTTCCGAAAAGATAAGAGAATTAGCAGTTCTATTAGCATCTAATAGGTGCCTCTTGACTAGTAGAAGATAAATTAAACTGCAAGTTTTGTGTATCCTAAGCTTTCTTCAAGATCTTTCCTGAGATTTAAATACTGTATAATAACTCAATGGCAAACTAATTAAATGCCATCCAATAACTGAATGTTAAACATTATTTTTTTATTCGTATCCTGGCACTGAAACGACATGTAATTTTTTTTAGATATATATGATGTAAATAAGAAGCCAGTTTTACTTAGATAGCTCGCACATGTTTTATCAAGGAACAAGTAAATGTATACTTGTACACTTACATGAATTATATAAATTTGATGGGCTGTAAGATAGTAATGGAATATGCTTAAAAATTAACCTAATGATCATTAGTGAATCATTAGGTTAATTTGAGGTGCTTAAACTGAAAATGTATGGATTTAATTTTTGTAGCTATGCCATGCTTAACTAATTTTAATTAATAACATAATAAATGCTTATTGCATATCCCCAAAAAATCGAAGTTGAAAGTTTCACTGAATTGCAAAAATGCTGTTGCAAATATTCGCAGAATTCACCAGACTAAGTGTAGAAGCACAACTGTTTCAATGAGATCATTCATTAAAATTTTTAATTATTAATGTGATTGCGATAAGGATGACATTTTAATAGATTCTTAATTTGTTTGCAATAGTTATAGTAGAATAATAATATACGATAGTAACTATAGTATATATCGCTATAATAACTGTAGTATAATTTGAAAATAAGAAAAATTATGCAAACATACAGTTCTTTGATAATTTTTAAAATTTTTCAATAATTATAAATATTTAATTTTGATTTCTGCAAAAATAATTTTCTCATTGTACATAATAGGGGTCATGATTTATCTTTGACTGTGGTTTTTTGGGGGAGTGGGGCAAGTAGGGTTGAAATTGCAGTTTATGTAAGTGAAGGTGAAACACTAAAACTGATTGATATTTTGCTTTCTTAAGAATGACACTTTTATTTTAATATTTGTGAAAAGAAAAATTTTGTGCATGTAAATGCTGAATGTGTTCTTTCATTAAAAAAAGGAAAAATAAGTAAAACTTGTGAATAAAGTGTTTTATATGTTTTAATCATTGAATGACAGTTTTCAGTCTTGGAAATAACAGTTATGGACAGTGTGGTGTTCCATTCGATGCAACAGATAAAAGTGATAATATCAAAGTTTATAAAGTGGAAGGCCTTAGTGAAGATGTTTCAGAAGTAAGTTTTGTTTGTTTGTTATTTTTGTGAATTATTTTCATTTTTGAATGAAATTCTAATTTATATGAGCAGTATTATTTTGTTTCAATAACAAAGTTTATTGAAATAAAGCAATTAAAAAGTTTCTGTTAAGGTAGTTTATTGTTAATATTGTAAAAATCACGATCTTGTAGTATATAGGATATTTGGAAACGCATGGGCAAAAATTTAAGGGGTGAGAAAACATCTGAACAAGCAATTTTCACCATGCAGTGCATGGGTGGAGAGCAAGTGGTGAATCATTAGAAGGTATCCTCCACAGGTATCATTGGTATCATCATCTTAATTTTATTGACAACATGTGTCACAAAATTGAAGAACTGCTCAAATGAACAACCACATGTGGCAATGTAGGCATTACATAAAATAAGCAATTAAATATTTAATTATAAATTAACATAAAATAAGCAATAAAGGAATTGAAAAGTTTCTGTTAATGTAGTTTATTCTTAATATTGTAAAAATCACGATCTTGTAGTATATAGGGTATTGGGAAACGCATGGGCAAAAATTTAAGGGGTGAGAAAACATCTGAACAAGCGATTTTCACCATGCAGTGCATGGGTGGAGAGTAAGTGGTGAATCGTTAGAAGGTATCCTCCACAGGTATCATTGGTATCATCATCTTAATTTTATTGACAACATGTGTCATAAAATTGAAGAACTGCTGAAATGAACAACCACATGTGGCAATGTAGGCATTACATACGTGGCGCAGCCAGCAGTGCACTTTTTCAAACATACCCAGCATTTCTTGGATGGTGCTGGCAGCAACAGTGATCCTGGCAACTAGGCCTTGTTGGAGTCGATGGAGCATTCGTAGATGTGACTTTGCAAATTGTCCCACAGGAAAATGTGCAGACAAGAGATATCAGGTGAGGATGGCAGCCATGGTGCATGTCCCCCGACTAGTCTATCACCCTGAGAATTTAGCATCTAAAGTGCTCCGCACATTTAAGCTGAAATGGTGTGGTGCTCTCTTGTGCTGGAACCACATGCATGCTTGTATGTTGGTTGCAACAGGTTGAAGTAATTTTGGCTTTACCTGTTGCATAAATGGGAGGTATGTTCTGCTGTCCATTTGGAATGGCAGAAAGTATGGGGCCGATCAAATGGTCACCCACAGTTCCACCCCAAACATTTATGCTGTAATGCTAATGATATGCATGAGAATGTGTGCCAGGGGATTGCTAGATGCCCACACATGCATATTAAAAATGTCTTCACAACTAAAGGTGCCTTCATCTGTGAATAACACATGTTCACTGAAATCAGGCTGCACTGTTGCAAAAACCAATGTCAAAATTCGACACGTGGCACATCTGCAGGTATTGAGGCTTGCACTTTCTGTACATGGTACTCGTGTAATCTTTCATCCCGTAGTATTCGCCAAACAATCAAGTGTGGCTCATTTACGGCTCTGGAAGCTTCTTGCTTGCTGATATCCAGATGATCTTCCACTCTCTGTAGAATCTCCTCTACAACTTGTAACATCTGCACACTCTTGCCACACCCTGTATCATGCATACCGGTAATAAAGAATCCTATTTCACACAGGCACCAATGCATTCGCTAACACATTTTTTGGTCTGGCGTGTCTTCTCGGAAATCACTGCCTTTCAGCTTCCAGAGCATTTCCATTTGCAAGACCATACATAAAATGCATCATGTCTGCCTTTCCCTGATTACTGTAAGTTGGCATGCCTAATCCACGCTAGGAATGAAAGTGTGTAAGAAAACTCACACTTTGTGTTTTCCGTTACAGCGCCATCTAGCCATTCACCTCTTGCTTTCCACCCATGCATTGCAGTATGAAAATTGCTAATTTACATGTTTTCTATTAACCCTTAAATTTCTGCCCATGAATTTTGAAACACTTTGTATTTTAATGGTGAAAATTTTATTTTTTGATAAATTTATGTTTGAGATGAAAAGTATTTTTAGTGTGCTAAGTTACTGATGATAACATTTCATGGGAATTTGAAATGTATGAAAATTTTCATTTCTTTAAAATTAATATATTGATAATAATAAAATAACGTAAATTCTAAGAAATTACATTTTATCAGAAATAAATTTTATGAATTACCAGAACATTTATTTATTTGATTACACTGGTAATAGATTGTCATTTTAATATCTAAACCGATATACTAACAGATCTATCATGTGGTTGATACTGTTTGTAGTTACTGATTTTATGTAAGCAATTGGACTGCTTTGATTTAAACCATTATTATCGATTTTGAATCTTTTGTAAAACATCTACTAAATAATGTTTGTGCTATAAATCTGTAAAGTTTTGGTAGTGGATACACAGTAAAATCTAGTGCTCATCAAATTACATTTTCAGATTTTAGATTCTTCATATACATAATAAGTTTAAAACTTGCATGTCAGTGTAACTACCTTGGCGTAGTTTGCTGTTTTTTTTTTTTTTTTTTTGTTACAGAAGAAAGGAATAATGACTGAAATTGCAAAATATTATTACATACATACATATATATTATTTCATGTATATTTATATATTAGTTTGTTTTGGGGGGGGACATGAATCGATAAACCTACTTACAAGCAGAAGTTTTTTTGTAGAGGAGGGTGGAAATAAGAAGATATTCAAAACAATAAATTCCTTTAGTGATTTTTATGGCAGAATATTCTATTTTTGCTAAAGTTTTACTGCAGTTTCTTCTATTGCAAGCAGATTCCAGATATGTTAATATTAAATTTTAGACAAGAAAATTGTAGGAATTTGTGCAACCTATTGGAACTTGGAAAACAACAGCAACAGCAAAAAAGTGCTCGCAAAAATGACAGCAGTTCTTGTTAAAACTGGAGAGTTGTTATGTATATGATTACCAGAAAATTTGGCTTCTGCTTAGGTGGTTATGTTTATATGTATGTCCCAAAAGTTGTATATTGTAGAAAATTTAAATCTTAATTAATATTTTAGAGCTCTGTACTGTTGAATGTTCAGCTGGCCATTTTTTCCCCTAAAATCTCTTTAAAAATTTTTCATTTCTATTTTTTATCTCCATTTAAAAGAATGGAAGAGAGAAAGAAACATGCACAGTGAAACAGTAAGAATTACACAGCAAAAATATCCATAATGAAACAGTCAAAACTTCATAAAACGTAACAAATTAACTAAATTAAAAAATGCATCAAGCATCCATAATAAAACACTTAATTTTCCTATTGTCTCATTCTTTTGTCCATATGCACAGCGATCTGTTTTAACCTGAAAATAAATCATCAGAGAATTGAAGAATTCTCGGCATTGCAGATCAAATTAGCACTGCTCTCCATGTACACATTGACGTGATTTAACTTAAAAAAAATCAGAGAATTATAGTTATTTAGAGGAAACTATTGTCACAATCACCTAAGAACATTCATAAATTACTTTCAAACTACTAGAATTCTATAAGAGAATAACATTGGAGATAAATAAAAGCTAGCCAATTGCTTAATTTATATGCATGTGATCCCCTCACTATTATTGATTTTTTGATGTTCAATGACCTTCTGGAGCTGTACTGACATATGTCAGATCTTTCAAGGATAAGCAACAACAACAACATATGCAATTTGTTATTTTAACAATAATAATGAAAATCAAGCCTGTCAGTATTTAAGGTTTTACAGTAAGTGGATACTGTTCAGCTGTTTGCTTTAATATTTCTTCAAAACGGTCTTTTTGCTTTCGTTCCAAACATTTCTGTAGTGAATTCTGTGGGATAGCGTGGACAGTTCGATCGTTTGCAAAATATAACTTCATGAGATGTGCATTTTTACGTTCTACTACTAGGCAAAATGCCATATTTCTGAAAACAAAAATGCAACACTTTCTTTTTCATTAGCTGGTTAACTCTATGGTTGCATTATGATTTATTAAAGGGGGATAAATAAAATAAAATAAGGTATTTATGTATTAACGCCACCGCAGCTGCAGATTTCGCGATTTTTAAGTGCCTCCAATCTACACCTAAAATTTTTTATCATAAATTAAAACACTTTATTTAAAATCAAAGTAGTCAATCGGATTTCGGTAGAAAATGGGCCAATATAGAGTTTAACATAGATTCAAAACAGTGTCTATTTTCTTTGACCTGATGCTGTTGCCATATGAACTCTGCTAAATAAGTTTCTAAATGATGTCTTGCTGCCCCCATGTCTCTTGTTCCTCCATTTAGCACTGCCCCACATTCTCTCAACTGTATGAACTCCTGTATCAGGATCAATAAAATTGTATTTATGATTAACTTTAGCATGTAGGAATCCTTCTTTTTCTATTCTATGAGGGCTATACAGAAAGTAGATTACGTTTTGGAATAAAAAAATAAACAAAGTATAGGAAACAAATTTTATTATATACAGATGAAAGCCACACTCAAATACTACTTTTCTACATAATCACCATACAAATTAAGGCATTTATCATAGCGATGTACGAGCTTGGAAATTCCTTCGTCGAAAAATTCGGCCGCCTGCGCCTTCAACCACTTCGTTACCTCTTCTTGCCTTCCATCTTGCACAAAACTTGTGGTAACCAAGCTTTTCGCTGATGATTTCGTGCAACAAACTTCGCAAAATTTGTGGAAAACTCGAAAAGTTCCGTTATTGTGAAATTTCGATTTTCACGGACTTTAGCATCGACTTTTTCGAGAAGTTCGGCGGTCACTATGCTGGGTCTCCCACTTCGATCTTCGTCGTGAACATTGGTTCGGCCATTTTGAAATCTTATGACCCACTGACGCACTCCACCTTCAGTGATAATGTTGTCCCCATACACTTCACGAAGCTGCCGATAGATTTCTATCGGTTTACAGTTTTTTGCAGTCAGAAACCTTATTACTGAGCGCACCTCGCAGCTCGTGGGATTTTCAATTAACGCAGACATTTCAAACCGTCACAGTATCTGAACGGAGCACAGCACGAACCTCTCACTAGCACGGCTAGATGCAGACTGAGCTGCGCAACGCTCTGACCCCAAGATGGCCGCGCTAGCCCCGCCCCTAGCGGACACAGACGGAAACGTAATCTACTTCCTGGATGGCCCTCGTATTTGTTTGGTAACCTTTCCAACTGTCAGAATAATATGTGCTACCAATCTGTTTGCTGCGGTGGCATTAATACATAAGTACTTAAAATAAAAACTATAAATAATTAAACACAAACTAATCGCAAGCAGAAGCCTTAAACTACCCTTGAATTCCAAAATTGCATATATTTAGTGGGTTGCTAGATGAAATACATTTTTGTAAAATTCTGGGTTGCTTACTTTGGCAACATAGTAAAGCATTATGTCCATGACAAGAATTATCAGACAAAGCATGTGGTAATTCTTTTCATGGTTGGCCCGATAATGTGGTAGCACCAAATTCAGAAGTGAGAGTATAATTATTTCGGTAAATAGGATAATTCCATTGTAATCCTCCAGATTTTTTAATGGAGTTAAAAGATTAAAACTGCTAAAAACATTCAAATGTTGCCGTTTTCAGATATTGTTTAAAATGAGTAATAAGGCTTTTTTTTATTATTCATTTCTTGTATATAAAATTGAGTACTAGAATGTACATATTGCACTTAGATACTTTTCTGTTAATTGGGTGCCCATTTCCAAATGTTAGAAATGTAGTAACTTATTCTGTAATGTGTGCAGTGCTGAAGCTATGCATGATGTTGAATTTGTGCAAGTCTTTGATTTTTTGATAAAGTTAAAACAGATCTCTGTGTACTTGGAGATAACAACAGTTTTGCTCGTCCCATGTACATATCAATATGTTTTTGCTTAAAAAATCAGATAATGCACCAATTCAGCATCGCTCACAACCTTGACACTGCACACATTAAATCTGTTTTCTACTTTTGTATATTCTCTTTTTTATGGATATCATCGAGAAATTACCTTATATTTCAGGTAACCCCCCTTTTCAAGTAATTACCTCTTTTCATGAAATTTATGTATCATTAGGGTTTTGTTGTCTATTTAGAGCTCACACCAACATTTATGTATTATGAAATGGCACATAATTAGCAGAAAAACATCTGCATTTATTTCACATTTTTGCCTTTTACTTTCCGTGTATGAATTTGACATTTTTTCTTTAATTAATGCATTTTTATTGTATGTGCTATATACTATTCTATATGCATCATTTTTACAAACTGCCTGTAATTAGGTTGTCTGTGGACAAGATCACACATTGTTTTTAACTACGTCTGGCAAAGTGTATAGTTGTGGATGGAGTGCTGATGGGCAGACTGGTAAGTTATGAAATTTTTGTTTATATGTTTTCACTCATACATGCATATAAAACAATAAATATTTATTTCAAATGTATATGAACTATTTTGTATGTATCAAATGTATATGAACTGTTATAATAAAATTGGTACTTTCTGCTTATCCTCATCTCTGATTGAAAAGTCAGGAATTAGCAAATTAGGAGAAAAAATTTGTTTAGATATTTTCTCATGTGTACTTCAGTGAGGCATTCAGTGCTGCCTATTTTTGTGCATTCTTTTTTCCATAGAAGACAGGAACACTTCTCAGATGTAATTAATTACACTCTTCAACGGTTATATTTGGGGATAATCTTGCTTTTTCTTCACTGAATTTCACTGACATACATTATATAGTCCAACAATAAATAAAGGGAATCCAAATGAAATATGGCTATCTTAAAACCAATTTCTGACCTGCATTCTGACACTCTGTTTGCAAGTTTTCACATTCCATTTCTATAAAATTTGATCATTTAAGAAGTGCATCTTCATAGAATTCAGATTTTTGTATTATTTATTATTGGTGAAAAATACCACATTTTTGAAGAAATGCATCTGTCTTTTTTTTTAACTACCAAACTCTATAGTCCTTACAGTTCTTCGTGACAAAAACAAATGAGCTCAATTTGGGGGGGGGGGGGTTGACTAGTTAGAAAAAAAAATTTTAAAACAAGACATTAAATTAATTAATCGCATATAAAATTTCAAAACTGCTAGTTCTTGGGTACCCAAATACAACTGTGTTACATTATAAGGTATTTTCTTCCTCCTTTCCACATGTCTTTGTGGTGTAATTGCAAGCATATTTGATGCGTATTCAAGAGGTCCAGGGTTTGAATCCTGGCAAAGGTTGCACATTTTTCACATCTGCTTAAAAAATATTAATGACTCTAAAAGTGGCGCCTGAACTAACTAAAAGGTGGTGGACGGTAATTCACCGTTACCAAGAATTGGCAATTGGGTCCCCTAATCCCCAGTCACCCTTTAAAAGTGGGAGTATATAAGGTATTTTCTCTCTTCTTTCCACATGCCTTTGTGGTATTTGCATATTTGAGTAGAAGCATACTTGATGTGTATTCGAGAGTTCCAGGGTTTGAGTCTCGTCAAGGGTATTGCACATTTTTCATGCCTCCTGCTTAAAAAAACCCTTAATGACTGTACCACGTGCATAATCTAGGTTGCCACATGAATACTTTTTGATGAATTTGAAGTTAAAGTAGTGTGTTGCCTCATCAATATGTTTTGCGACTTTCTATTGATGGTGCAGATAATTGGAATGTACCATAAAATTTTAAATAGCATGTAAAATATTTTTATACCTCAAAAGCTTGTTTTTATGAAAACTTATATTTTTAATAATTTATGAAATACATAAATTTAATTTGTTGCACAAATTTTATTTTATATCCGTATTTTTCAAAATTCTGTTTGATTGAAGTACACTCTTTTGCAAAAAAATCAAAGCACCATGAAGGAAGTGGTTGTTTTTGATGAAATTGAATATGTGTATAGCTCATACACAGATAATAAAATTATTAAAATCAAGGTCATAGTACCTGTTCACAGCTCACAATCACCTATTGAGTGTTCAAATTAGCAGTTTGATTAATTAGCGAACCGCCCTGGCGGCAATACATACTTGAATTCATCGAGGCAAGGAGTGGTAGAGGTTCCTAATGTCATCCTGCAACACATTCTGCCAGGCATTCATCAGTTGTCGCTCCAGATCTGCGATATTTTGTGATGCCTGAATCTGGCAGCCTATCATGTCCCAAAAATGCTTGTTTGGTGAAAGATCTGGTGTCCTTGCTGGCCAAGGAAAAGTGTCAACTGCACGGAGACAGTCCAGAGTCGTCTCTGACTTAATTTAGCCGCTTGGACTCTACTACTGTCATGTGCCCTCTGGGCCTTTTATCATGAGCCGGAAACGTAGCGCTCCGTGTGATATATCGGGAATACTTGTATGGATACGGATACAAATAGACAGTCCAGAGAGATAAGAGCGGTATGTGGCGTGTCATTATCTTGTTAGAAAATGGCTTGAGGATGACGTGCCATGAAGGGTAATGCAACCGTCTGCAGGATGGTATCAACATATCGTTGAGCTGTTTAAGATGTACAGAAAAGGACTAAAGATGACCTGCTGTCATAAGAAATAGTGCCCCACACCATCGCACCAGGGGTTATGGCTGTATGTAAAACAAAGGCTGATTGGGATTGCTAGCCCCGTCCTCTCCAGACGTGAACACTGTTGGTCATCTGCATCAAGAGTGAAGCGGGATTCATCGCTGAACACTATACGATGCCAGTCTGATGGCAATCATGAAGATGGGCTGCGAGACCACTCTAGACGACTCCACCGATGTTGTGGGATAAAAGGCAAACATCTTAAAGGCCTCTGTGAGCGTAAGTCTGCCTCAGACAAGTGCCATGAGTTGGTGGATGGTACCACAGGAGGTAGAGATGTGTCTGTAGTGCGTTGAATAGTCGACAATGATACTGTTGGGGTGGTTTGGGCCTGGCGAAAAATCATCCAATATTGCCTTGCATTTGTGATTCTTGGCCTTTCAGAGCCTACATTTTGTCAGCAATTTCCTTGTAGCAATCATTGCTGTCAACATCTTTGCACAGCGGTGCCTGTATGTTGCAGGTGACAAGCCTATTGCTCAGTATGACCACCTAGCTTCACGCAGCCCTACAATGTGACCACGTTTGAAGTCATTTAGTTGTCTGTAAGTTCTTCAATATCATCATAATGCATCTTTAGTTGCTTCGTAGTTGTAATTCCATAAAGTAATTGTGATGTGATTGTGTAAGTTGTAATTGTTTAGTTGCTTCTTTATGGAATTACAGTTTTCCGCCTCTGTTACTGGTTTTGTATTTTGTAAATTGCGCACCAGAAACGCACACTGTGATCACAATTTCTGTTCATTTGCCTTGAAACTTTGATCATTTGCATGTTTGATCAAGATGTTTTTGTATACCAAATTTCGTCATGATCGCTGAAGTCCTTCTTGGTGCTTTGATTTTTTTTTTTTTTGCAAAAGAGTTTATATCATGCTCACATGAATACTACATAAGCATGTATTCCTGAATAAAATTAAGTGTAGATCTCTAGATTTTAGTTACCTGAAACTTGATATAGTTTCATATTTTGATTAATATTTAATGCTTTGCAATTTTTTTTAAAGTGATATTCTAAATTCTCTAAAACTTTTTCTGTAGATATAGTACAATTTTGAAATTATTTAGTATGTTGGAAATAAGTTTCTGATTAAAATGAATATTTATCATATATGCAGAAATCTTCAATATATTTTTAAGGTATTAATAGTAATTAGAATATACTTACAATAAACTTTTGACCAAAATACATAATTTTTAAAAACAGAAAATTTGATTCAATGGAAATCATAAATTGGTTAATATTGTTAAATGAAGGGTGAAACAAATACTGTAGAATTATGGAATTATGAATATAGAGGAGCCACCATTTAAGCAAGTCTGTTATATATACTTAACAAAGCATGTATTTAGTAAACTGTAAATCTGACACTTTCATGCAAATTTAGTATTATTTTTAGAACAATTTCTGTTTTATAGCAAAGAAAATTTTAAAATCATTCCATGCTTGCTGCTTTATATAAAGTAAATCAAATCAAATTCAAATCTCAGTAAATAAGATTTTATGATTGTGTAAGATTTTTTTAAGGTTTTTTGTCTATTGTGAATATGAGTCAGTTTCATTTTGCAGGCACTCCTCAAAGTCATCTCTACTCTTAGGCAGGTAGCCTTTGCATGCTTTGCCATAATGGATTAAACATCAGGCTTAAAATATTAGTGACTCAAATTTATTTTACAGTAGTTTTAAGAAATAGATTAATTAATTAGTTAATTATTATGCATATGTCAAATATATTAACTTCTTTTTTTTAATAAATTAAGGCTTAGGTCATTACAGTAATCAGTTTACTCCTGCTAGAGTGAAAGGCGACATTGAAGGTGAAAAAATTGTGCAAATATCATGTGCAGCTGACTGTGTGTTAGCTGTATCAGGTAAGTCATCTCATTAACTTATTAATTACAGTCAATTTGAAACTGTTCTTTAATTATTTTTTAATTACATGTTTTAATAATAATTTTAAAAAATAATGTATAATCTGTAAGATTTGAATAATTAAAAATGTTACAGTTTACAAAAAAAAAAAAAAAAAAAAAAAAAAAAAAAAAAAAGCTTTTTTAAGAACTTTTCTGATGTGTTTAATTATTTGGAAAAAATAGATTGGCTAAAAATATGTGCAGTGCTATGACAGTTAGCGATAACTTTTATAGTTAATCAAAATTAGCATTTTAAAGTATAATTTTAATAATATAATATACTTTTTTATTCATACAAATTTGAACGATAATTAATATGATGGGAAAGAGAAATGTTAAAAATCTTGTAAATACATTTGTTGTTATCAAAGAATGCTTTTTTTGTGAAACTTTATGTTCAGTTGTGATAAAAAACATTAAATATGACTTAATGCATTTACATATGTCATTTTTTATTTAAAAATACATGATGCTATAAGGGATTTAAAAAAAATGAAGTTAAATCTGTTTTAACATAATCTTAGTCATGATACACTAATAATTTCTGAGAGAAACAAGGTTATCAAATATTATCATAGAAAATTTAGCTATAGTCATTTAAAAAATTGATTTTATTCACAAATTAAATTAAAATATTTAAAAGTGAATTGTTTCATTCATGAAGCTTTAAATTATCAGCAGCTTTTAAGATTCTCATTATTCAGTCAGGCTTCTATTAAAATTTCCATTAATTTTAATGCAGCTCTATACAAAATGTAGCTATAAATGCATGACAAATTTTAAAATGAAATTTAACAGTTTGAATGCCATTATACTCTTATGTTAAGATTTAAGAAACTGCAGGATAATAAATACCTCAATTACAAGTATATGAGCAACGTTCTTACTATTTTTGGTATCCTGAGCTAATTATGTGTGTTTAAAGATTTTGAAACATTTTCAATAATATAATTTTACAGTTTGAAAACAAAATGCAGGTTTTATTACCTAATCAAGATGCTAAAACACTAAATCATCAAGTGTTTCAAATACTTTTCTTTTTTAAATGGCTAATTTAGTACTTTGTTTTAAGTAATTAGAATTTTGGAAATTGCATTTGAAAATTCTAAAATAATTTTGAGTTAATTTTTTTTTTCTTTTCTCCAGATAAAGGTGATGTTTTTGGGTGGGGAAATTCTGAATATCAGCAACTAAATTTAGCCACAAGCCAGCAACAGGTTAGACAGTTTATACTTTCAAAAACTAAATATGTTTAGCATTTGAATCTTAAACTTACATTCTTGATTATTTAATAATAAAACTGAAAAATAAGGCCGGAAAATTTTCAAGTATTTTCTATATATACACTTGTGCAAAATTAAGAGAATTTAGAAATTATGTCTGTTTGTATAAGAAGGATTGAATGAAAGGTACTAATTATGCTGTCGAAGAATCATGCAAACATTCAGAGTGAAATACATGAGTGTACACATGTATGTCTGCGAAGCTGTAATTGTGGAGGGGATATAAGTCCATGAGGGTTTTCAGTAATTTGTGTGTTCATATACCTTCATGATATTCGCCATGTTTCTTGCAGGAGTTGGGTAAATATTAAATATCAAGTAAAATGAATATGGATAGTGGAATAAGATGGAGAACTGTTGGTAGATTGGTGGTAGGCCAATCACAAAAGCAGGTGGCTGCAGAGCTCAGTGTAAAACCCAGTGTCATCTGCAGTTTGTGGAATGTTTTGGGATACTGGATTCATACGAGAAGACCTAAACAACATTGAGGAAGATCCACAACAATGAATAAGGATCGCTATTTGATGCTTTCGGTGCAGTGACATGATGTTTGCTGCAGCTTCACAGCTTTCCACGTGAGCTGTATGCTGCCACTGGAAGCTGAGTTCCGCGGTCTACATATGCCTGAAGGCTTCATGAGATAAGACTGTATGGCAGGAAACCCACAGTTTGGGTCTCACTCACTGCAGCACATAAGAAAGTGCATTTAGCATTGTGGTGACAAGATGCACCTTGGAGCAGACTTTAGTGCAGCACTGTACTTTTTTATAAATGAGTTGAGATTTAGACTGTATACTGATTCTCATTGTACATATATTTGAAGAGAATCTGGAGCACAGTATCATCCCTCTCTCAGAGAAAGAGGATCAGAAAAGAGAAGATCATTATAGTAGTGGAGGTGTAATGATTTGGACAGCCATTGTATTGGATGGCTGCACATCTGTGCGTGTGTTTGATAAAGGTTTCCTGACTACTGTGACGATCTTTAGTCCTGCATTCAACGTTTCAGGAAAATAATTGGACCTAGGTTCCTGTTAATGAACAACGACACTCATCCACATAGGGCTTAGCTGGTTGATGATTATTTGGGAAAGTAAGGATATTTATTACATGGATTGCCCAGCCAGATCTCCTGACCTGAACCGTATAGAGCATGTCTGGAATCCTATTTGTTGGGCAGTTTCATCTTGCCATCCACCTCTGAGAACCATCGCAATGTTGTAAATTGCCTTGCTGCAGGAGTGGGTTTGACTGCCACAGGGACTTCTCTGCCATCTCCTCTCCAGTATGCTGTCCAGCTGCATATTATTATTATTATTATTTAGAGGGTAAAAATTCTTGTCATTTTGTCTGCTCTTTTCAATCATAAACATGCTATTAATTTCAATATCAAATTTAATGTGAAGAACTTGTCTCTATTTATTAGATAAAAATAATTCAGATTTTTGCCATTAAATTTTTGCTGTAATGATTTGCAGAATTTTATAAAGCACTTTTCTGAATATGTGATTTTCCATGATATATTCAAGTACACTGGCTGTTTTAAAAGATGTATATTTTCCATGAAAATTTTTTATTCTTATTATACTAAATAATTTAGATTCTTTTGCATTTGAATTCGTATTTGGTCATATCAAGATTGTATGTAGCTCTTTTAATGAAAAAAGTCTTTGTTGAAAAGCAGATTTCTAAATGTGTAATTTTTCATGATATATTCAAATACTCTGCTTATTTTGAAAAATGTATATTTTTCTATAAATTTTTTTTTATTCTTATCATACTGAGCAAGTTTGATTCTTTTGTATTTTGCATTCAAATTCATATTCGGACATATTAAAATTGTATCTAGCTCATTTAATTTTTTAAAAAATTCTTTGTTCAAATCGTTATAGTTCAAATACCTGGCAAGTCCCAGTATCATATATTGTGCCACAAATTTAATGAAAATGTTTGCCAACCATTGGATTGTAATGAGTTGTTTTATACTATTTCTTTTCAGCTAAACATACCAAAGCATATAAACCTAGGAAGTGTAGGTAAAGTGAAGCAGGTTGCTTCTGGTGGTACTATGTGTGCTGTACTGAATGGTAATTTTTATATTCTAAAACTATTTAATTTTTAATGTTAGATAATTTTTAATGTGTATGTATACCAAGTGTATATGAATTCAGCTATTAAAGATATAAAAAGTAATATACTGTATATGAATATAGCCATTAAAGATATAAGTGTATTTGAATTCCACTATCAGATATGCAAGTAAGAGGGAAAAAAGGGGGGGGAAAGGGTAACCTTCAAAATCATAAAATAATTTGTCCTATGCATATTGTGGATTTGAATTTTCAAGCAAAGTGGTAATTTTTAAAATTTATTTTTATTTCTTTTTTACATGTAGTGTACTAATATGGTCTATATTTGGCTATCTTTTAAAAATCTAACATATACTGAAAGTTCTTGATCAATATAATAACAGAGTTTTAATATTAGAGAATGCATATTTAATTTGTATCAAACTTTTTGATTTTGAAATTCTAATTATTCATGTCATAGTTGAGAACTCCAATATTCTTTACCTGTATTTATTTTACTGAATTTTTTTAAAAGAAAATCTCAAGTTGTATTGTCAGTAAACTGTGATGTGCAATTCTGTTGTTGCAAAATTTAGAAAATCATTTCAAAGTCAAATCATAAATTACCAAAAATATTGCATAGCCTTGAAATTCAATCTTCTTGAGGCTGTGGCAACTATTCTGCCATGAAGTTTATGGATAACACTACAGCAAAAACAAATGAATTTCAATTTATTGAATATTCTTGATTCTTCTGAGAGTCTTGCCTTTATATAAAGGCAATATAAATAATTACTGTATTTTCCAGTGTATAATGCACATCTGTTATTTCAAGCTACATTTTTTTAAAAAATTTTTAGGTATATAATGTGCACTCAGTTCTTCATGAAGAAGCCTATAAGATACACATGCATTGCTTTTATCTTTTAGGGTCACTTATTCAAGCATTTGTCCTAGCCTTTCAAACAGTGGCAAACCACACTAACAAACGATGAGGGGAATAATATGTATGCTTTTTAAGTGCTTGAAGAAGTAAATATTCCAGCAAAGAGGGTGGATTATATTCAGTATTCTATACAGCTGTCCAAAAGAATGCACTTCCAAACTGAATCAATTCATGGAATTAGAAGTTAGCTGTTTCCTCTTTCTGTAGTCATTTGAAGCTGAGATTTTTAAGTGAAAATCAAAGGCTTTAGTAAATTGCATTTGCTTTAGTTCAAATACAGTTGATGCAATGCTCCTTTTAGTAAAATATAAGGCTCCCGTGAAAAGAAACAAACACAGTGCAGGTTTAATTGCTAGAAAAGAAACAAACACAATGCAAAGCCATTCATTTTGCGAAAGAAAATAGAAATTTTGTAGCAACAAGGATGTTTGGTGAAAGTTGGAAGGGATAATGATAATTTATTTACGGATCAAAATAACAGTGATGATGAAGACGAACGAAAATTCTGTGATATGCCTGAAGATGTAATGGAAGACGAACATGACAAACTCTTTATATTATCCGATAATAAAAATGTTTAATTTCGTAAGGTATGTCTTTTCTTTTAAATCAGCAGCATTTGGGTACATGTAAAATTTTAATTTTTTCCTTATTTTTAAGCTATGGAAGAGTTCCTCACTTTTATCTTATTAAATGTAAAGTCGAGAAACCTAGTTAATTGCTAAGTGTATAATTGCTGAAGTCCAAGAACAGAAACGTTAACTCAAGAAGGGTTAAATAGTTGGCCCGTAATATTAAATTAGTGACCTATCAAAAGGCACGTAGTACGGCGAGCGTAATATCAGTTTAGAGAGACGTAACCCAAAAGTAATGTGCGCTATATTCAGGGTTCCTAACTCTCTCTGACGAAGTCAGTGGAACTTGACTTAAATACTATTCTACTTGTCTCATTTGCACTCAACACAGTTCTAAAAACTCATTCTGGTTGGGAGTTGTAAGCTGAAGTTATGAAGGATAGGAAAGAAGCATTAACTTAAATGTTATAAAATCAAAATATACCTTGCAAAGCTATTACTTTTGCATCTGGTGTATAGTACTCACCCACAAATTTCAGTCCTATTTTTTGTATTTAAAGTGTGCATTATATGCCGGAATGCACTGTAATACCAATATATATAATAATAGTGAAACTACTATTTAAGTGCCAGATTCTTTTTTATTAGCAGTCATTTTGTACTAAGAAGTCACAGAATATCATTAGGAAGTTTACTGCCTGGCTTTCTATTACAGCTTGAAAGATGCAGTAAATATAACAAATAGTTGGCAATAATTCATTAGTTTCTTGTGCCTCTTCTTAAATGATTATGTGATGAAATAAATTATCATGACTATTCTGAACTAAATATTTTACAAAGAGGTATTGTTTTTGTCATCTAACTAAGAACAATACATGCAAAGTAATAAATTTAGCTATTTTACAGAAATGCAATAGATTTTCATTCAATATCTTGTTTAGCTTATGCTGTGAAAGATATATGAACACAATACAAATCTCTTATATAGGTAGCTTTTTCTGTATTTGAGAATAAAATATGAACTTAAAGAGAATGTGTATGCTAAGGCTATATTAAAAAGGAATTAAATAGTATATTATCAAATTATTACTTTATATATACTCCTAAAATGGTTAGAATATCATTCGTTGCAAATGTTTTAGATTATAATTTCGAAAGGTGTGTATGTGACAGTGTCAAGTAAAATGAATTAAAACAGAATTTATAAAGAGTAGTCTGTGAAGGAATACCATATATTTTCTAATATGATCTGAAAAGAAAGATTTTACTACAAAAATAGGTGAAAGCATTGCAGAGGAAAAAAGGACTCTTTTGGTTTGTGTAGTTTTTTTTCCCCCTATTTCTGTCAGTTTTGAGTATATATATCATTTTGGTATTTTGCTAGTATTGTGAAGAATTTTACTTTGGCTCTTAGTTGTGCAAATTGTTCTCAAGCAGCCACAAGATTTTTCCTCCATCAGCTGTGCTCTCGCTTTTAGGAGTAAAATGCAATTCTTCATTTCTACTCTGCAGTGAAAGATGCCTGGGCAAAAAAGATTTATTTATTCTGTGAGGTTTATTATGTTGTAGAATAAGCATAATTATCTGAATGTTAATTATAAAAATTAACACTTTTTTTGAACTTTGCTATGAATAAAACTGAAGATGATGTCATCTGGAAGGTGAATGGCAAAAACATGTTAGTGGTTAAATGGAGGACAATGGTATTCTTCTGAGTTTGTATCCAATAAGGACTTAAAATAATTGCTAGAAAATTCTGAGTCAGATGCTAGTATTGGGCCCACCAACGGCGGAGCGGTAAAGTCGCTGAATGCTGGTAGTTTGGTCCGAGGTTCAAATCCTGCGAACAAGCTGGCTGCATGGGCTTTTTTGTGATTTTCCCCATGTGTAGCATGTATATAAGCCAGTTTCCCTTAGGAAGTCCCTCCCCTTAGCCAGAATTTAAACTGCTGGCCATCCAAAGTGCAGTACCATTAAGGAAGCATCGAAACAACATGAAATTTGCATTATATGTATATTGCGATGCAATATATGAATGATTATGATTTCTGTGCGGGCATACATCATGGGCAACTGCAGTGTTTTTTACAATCTGTATATAAAGGGAGGAAAATTACTTTTTTTAATAATGTGAATCATTTTCTTGTGAGAGTTTTTGTGTGTGCAGGTTTAGTATGCATTAGAAAAAGTGTCTTAGTATAATATACTCTCATAGAAAAACACAAGCATCATTTGAGCACTTTTTCTCAGTTCGATCGATGAGACGCTGCATCCTGAGATTGTGTATTATCCTTCTGGGAAATCGGTCATTGTATCAGATGTAGCCAAGTAATAGTCATGCAAATATGGAATTGGTGACTGCAGGAGGGAACGATTGACAAACAGGAGCAGTTGCAACCACCTCATTGCACCACTGCATGGGAAGAGAGGCATATTGTATGCATGGCACTGATGGACCATATGCCACATCTGCAACTATATCCAAGTGAATGCAGTCTCTAGCAGTACAATCAGTGTTTACGTGAACAATTTGATGTTTCCAGTATAGTGGACTGTAGGTTAACCATCCTTTGTGTTGCTTACCTTTAACTTTAAACAACAGGTGTTTACATTTGAAATGGTTCTCTTAATAATGCAAACTGACATCCGAATGGCATGACATCGTGTTTTAGGATGAATCATGCTTTTGCCTGCAGTACCACGATGATCAAATTTGAGTTTGTAGGTACGATAGAGAGAGGCTGCTGGACTGTTGTATTATATATCGTCGTACTGATCCTGCACCCGGTGTGATGTTGTGAAGCAGTATTGGATTCCAGTTCCACACCCACCTAGTATGCATTATTGATATGCTTAACCAGCCAATACTCTATCTCTGAGGTTTTTCAGCCTGCTCTTCTTCCGTACCTTCAGGGCTTGCCTGCCAATCACATTTCAACAAGGTGATTCGTTGAAACAGCCTGCCAAATTCTCCATATCTATCACCCATTGGACATGTCTGGTTAATCATTAAAGAACACGTAGCCCAGAAAGCCGCACCTGTAGGTACACCAGATGAACTTTGGATACATGAGGAAAGCAGATGGACTGCCATTCCTCAACAACACATTCAAAGCCTTTTTCACTCAATGACAAACATGAAGGCAACACTTATTAATAATTTTCTTGTCATCCTCACCTTAAAGAAGGCTGTATTTCAACTCAATTAACATTATTATTATGTGTATTCTGTGAAATAAATTTGTCATTAATATCTCTTGTCCTTCTTCATGTTGCAGTTTGGATGGCCAGCTTTGTATATTAGAACACAATAAAAATAATTTTTGTCAGTCATTTAACTTACTTTTGTGATCAAATTATTTATAAATTATTTTTAATTTATATGTAAGCTGACCCCCAAAATTTCAGTTTAAAAACAAATACTAAAAAATCTCATCTTGTGCATGTATAGTAATTTAGTTAACTTATGAAGTGGAAGGTGTTTGTGCGTAAGATGT